CGCAGAAACTCACCTTGGCAAACTCCTGACGAGTAAGTCGATTGATTGTCTGCAGGTCTTCCAATTGTTTCTGCAGCTGATCCAAATTTTTCATTTCAAGCTAAAATAAATGCTTTATAATCCCCAAAAACATATACACTTCGCATGTGAGCGAAAGCGTGAAGTCGTACTCTATGTTTATCCCTATAAGCTCGTAGGGCTTGCACTTCTTGCCGAAGATCCGTTATCTCGGCTTGGACATTGCCCACATCTTCACTTCTTTCCAGTATTTTGAAATTAGCTTCATCAAGTTGCTGCCTAAGTCGTTCGCTCTCTTCGCGAGTAGCCGTTAGTGTTTCCTGGAACACGGACAAGAGTTACTTACTTAGTAAGTCTTGAGTGCAGTCTGAGGCAAAAATCAATCTACATACATGACCAAACATTGCAAATATGTTTTCGCAAAACCTTGCGAAACTAGTTAGTGCATCGCTTGGCAGCATCCTTGGAATTCCTTACTTCACTAACCATCTATTCAAGAGGGGTTGTAATATAGAAGGTAATTTTATTATCGTTGTCGCTGCTGAGAGTCAGTAAATTTGAAGTAAGATATTGTCAACAATGCATTGAAAATATCTAAGGTCAGAAATCTCGAACATCTGTCATGTGAAAAAAAAAATTCAAAACAAGTTTTTGTTGACGGAGAAAAACTGTTCTGATGGATAACAGACAACTATTTCATGAAAAAATGGCCATTCACTTTTTTCACTAAAAAAGTCAGGTGAGATACACAATGATCAGAATTTTTCAACATCAATGAACAAAATTGAACTACCGAGATTTTTGAGTTTAGATCTTTTTCGTTCTTACCACATTTTCGCAAAAGAGCAGAAGCAGTAACTGACTTGTCTATGAACTACAACTTGGGGGCTGAGAGCAGTAATCAAACAATGTGTCAAACCTGCAGATATTCTATAGATCCGCGTAATTCCAGTACTTCTTGATCGTGAGCGTATTCTTTTTGACGTAGCACATCCTCAAAACGAGTGGTAAGCGTCTCCAGCTTCTGTTCGTTGGAGTTACGCGACGTCCGAAACTGAAGAAATTTTTCTTAGGCAAAGAAATAGCCATTCATCGATTCAGGAACATTAGCTGGTCAAAGAAAAACTAGAAAATGAAGAATAGTTTCCACAAAGAGAAGCTAGGGATCTGATATAAGAATTACAGTTTCACGGAATGAACATTCCACTACCTGGTTTTCAAACTCTTGCCTAACTTTGCTCTCCACTTCCGATAAGACTTCTTGGATAACATTCTGCAGAACAATTTCGGATTGACGATTCTGCAGCATCTGAGAAATAATGCCAGGCACAGCGTCTTCTTGCTCCTAGAATAAAGAATTTTCCTGTAAAAAAACCGACATGAAAATTAATTTATAAAATTTTACACAACCTCTTCGTTCTCTTGCACGTTATGTATCAGAGCATCGCCACGTCGATGTTCGGCTCTTAGAGAAGCCGCTTGTTCCAGATAACGACGAATTCTTTCACGCAGCATCTAAGATTTTCGATCTGAGCAAAATTTTTCACGATAAAAATTTTTTCACCTCAATCTGGGCAGTTCTCCCTGTATATCGCGCTTCAGCCTCCGCGACAGCCGATCTTCTTGTCTAGAAATAATATTTGCTCAGTT